GGCGGGCAGGACGGGGCCTCTGGTCTGGTTTGGGCGCCTGGAAGATGCCTGTTCCCTGGCTCCTGCTGACCTTGGCACTGGGCCGAAGCCCCAGGGTCCTCTCGCTGGAGAGGGGTGTGGGCCTTCAAAGCACTGCCCACTGCTCCGCGGTGAGTCTGGGGCTGGAGGGTTGGTGGGGGGGGGGGCTTGGGAAAGGCTCAGGATTTCTCCGCAGCCCATGGCAGCCACAGTCTGGCCCCTGTCACTGCCTCCATGGCCAGAACCTCCCCTGATGGTCAGTCTGGTGCTGGCAGGGAAGAGAAGCCTGGGGTGGGCTTTGTATTCTGGGAGGGGCTCTTAAATGAAATGGGCTGAAGTCTCAGGCTGGGAAAGAGATTGGTTTTCGGGACCAAACTTCTTCTCTGTGTTTCTTCCCTCCCAGGGCCTCTCCTGCCGACTCTGGGGTGAGTAGCCCTTCTTTTGGAAAGAAAAGGTCTTCTCAGGTGGGCAGCGGGAGGGAGAGGGGGACTGTCATAGACCCACAGCCTCACCACCTCTTAGTCCAGGCAGAGCCCACAGCCCCTGGCCCTCTGGGCCTGTCAGTGCAGAATGGCAGGTTCTGAACACCTCCAGTGTCCATCCCGCCCTTCCTGTACAGATGGCGAAGGGCTCTGCCTGCTGGGGACTGGGACTGTTGAACCTGCCCCCGGCCCTGTGCTGGAACCTAGTCGCCTGCAGACAGAGCTGGTGCTGAGGTGCCACGAGGAGGAGGCTGACTGTGACCTCTGTCTGCGCATGGACATCCATTTAGCGGTGCATGGTGAGCAGATCTGCCTGTGGCTGTGTGAGCACTGGGAGAGGGTTTGGGGCAGGCACAAGGCCCCTGGGTCTGCCCCTCTTCAGGCTGCTGGCCTAAGGCCTTCCTGGCCCACCAGGTCTTCCTGTCCATTCCCTATGGTCCCAGGCTAGCCTCTGCTCCAAGGGCCTGAGCTCAGCACCAGGGGCCTGAGCAGGGCCTTGCTCCTGGGTTTTTCCAGGGCATTGGGAAGAGCCTGAAGATAAAGAATTGGAAGGAGCAGCCAACCCAGAGGCTGGCGAGGCTGGCAAGGCTGGCAATGGTGAGAAGACCCGGGCCGACCCACATATTGCTTGCCAGACCCTTGCACACACAGGGCTGCTGGACCTGACCATCCCCTCCCTTCTCTGTGGCTCACAGCCGCGCTGCAGTCCCACCTCCTGCTGTCCTTCCAGGACCACCCTTCTGCTGGCTGCTTCCTGCTGGAGGTGCAAGTGCCTGCCTCCCGCGTCCGGTCTGGTCTGTCTGCGGTATGTAGGCTGAGAATGCCAGGCAGCGGTAAGAACCCGCTCCTGACTAGAAAATTCTGTAAAGCTCTTGCTGTCCAATCATTAGCACGTTCACCTTTGATGTGTGACTGTGGCCGACCCATTCAGTCCTTGGTAGCCCCGTTTTCCGGCCCGTAAAGCAATAGCCCTACCTTACTCTTCTGTATGGTGCCGCCGCCGGGGATTGATTGAGATGCTTTCTATAAAGCACCTGGTGTAACGCCCAGCACGGAAGGGCTGTCATTGGTGAGTTTAATGGTTTCTTCCTCTTGTAATCTTTAAAATCGCCAGTGTCACCTGCATTTTCCTGAAAAAGATGGCTCAAAAAGGGGAATTCTGTGGGTTGGGTTTACTTCTCCGACCCCCGGACTGATTCTCTGTTCACTACGTCCTGTCTGCAGCACGTATGCACTGTGATGCAGGGTGTTGGGACTTCTCGGGGGCCAAGCACGACGGAGGATCCACCTCCACTGAGGCCTAGTCACCTTTGACTTCCTCTCCTGTCCCCGCCTCCAACGCAGAGCCTCTTAGAAAAGCACTTGGGAGGACCCTGAGGCCCCGGCTGTGAGCACAAACTCCGGGGAGGGGGCTTGTCCTGTTCACTTTGCCCAGGCTGTCCAGGACAGCAGAGGTAGGAACCCAACCCTCTCCCAACGAGTCGATCCCCATCCTGCCTCGTAGCAGCCTCGTAGGACAGGGCAGAACTGCCCCTGTGGGTTTCCGAGACCGTAACTCTTGATGGGAGTTGAAAGCTTCAAACTGCTGGCCTTCCAGGGCCTCAAATAGTTAGGGCCCTTATCCCTGCCCTGCTGACTCCTGGCTATCAAGAGTGTTTGCTTTAGAATTGGGGGCCTACCAAGGGGACGTTTGTGGTGGCATTTTTGGCTGTCCTGCAGAGAATACTGACAGGTGGGCAAGTGGGTGGCAGAGGGTGGGAGTCAAGAAGCCACAGCGGTGGGCTTTCTTCTCACAGGGCTCCGTGATGTTTGACTGTTTTGAGGCCGCCCTGGGGGGTGAAGTGCAAATTTGGTCCTATACTCAGCCCAGATACCAGAAGGAACCCAACCTCACCCAGGCGATGCCTGGTAAGTGATCCAAGAGCCCCTGGGCCCCCAGGCTGGGCCTCTCTTCCCTCTGGCCGCTCCCATCTGTTTGTATGCTCCTTCTAGTCCCGAGGTCTGAGCTGGCATCCTCCCCCCAGACAGCACCCCCTGCCTTCTCTCCGAGGGTGACGTTTCTCTCTAGCCCCCAAGGAAGGTCCTCTTGACCCTGCGCAGGTGTGGGTGGTGTTTGGGGGTCAGGGAGCCCTTTGGGTGGGCTCTCCCTACTCTTTTCCTCAGCCCCCAGCCCTATTGGGGACCTTTCTTTGATCTCTTCCCAGACTGCAGGGGCCTCAAAGTCTGGGACAGCATCCAGAGTTGCTGGCATAGGTGGGGCTGGGGACAAGGAGGGGCAGGGTCTGGAGTGCCAGGGACCCTGGGAATTGGCTCCAGATTGGGGCTTGTTCATCCCAGCAGCTGGTGAAGCAAGCACATTCATTCATTTATCAGACATGAACTACAGTAACTCCTCTGTGTCAGGCAGTAGGAATATAAAGACGAACTTCTCATTCCTTATAACATCCATTAGGAAGAGGGACATGTAGGAAGTCCCTGGATGGTGCAAATGGTTGATGCACTTGACTGGGAGGTTCAGCTCTACCCAGGCGCCTCAGGGGAAAGGCCTGGCACTTGGAGTGTCTGCCATTGAAACCAATCCTACTCTGGCACCTGTGGGCTCACCAGGAGTCAAAGTGGACACAACCATGACTGGCTTTTAATTTTACTTTCAGGGATGGCTAGGAGCTCCAAGCACTGTTAGTATTACAGCCCAGCCCCTGCACCACATAGAAATAAAAAGACTACTAAATGCTAAGTTAAGGACTAAAAGTGTTCAGGAAGCTTTTAATGTTTTTCTTCGTGGCCATTGTTTGGATTTCGGTGTGGGTGGTCATTTTGGTCGTTTTTGATGTGTGTTAACATCCACATAGTCAAGTGTGGAAGGTGCACCGACTGAACTGGCCAACCTGACCATTTTCTGTATATGCACATCCTTGTGTAACTGCCACCCAGGTCAAGATGTACATATGTGGTTGGAGGAGGGTTGCCAGCCACCCACCACTTAATCACGGTTTCAGGAGGCACAATTGTACGGCTGAGATATATAAATATTTTATTAAAGTCATCCTGAGCATGAGAAATAAAAGAGATATTAAAATAATGGAGTCAAACACAATTCAGGGTAGCAGTGCTCACCTCAGCCCCGCTTGGTGGTCCATGTGGAGAAAGGGGGAAGGGATGGAGGACAAGGGAAAGGGAACAGGGGAGCGAGGAAAGGAGAGGAGAAGGAGCCAACAAGAGGTCAAGGGAGGAGCCAAGAGAGGGAGCCCTGTCTATAGCTAACCCAGGCCTATGTAACTTTGGGGGCATGCAAGCCCACTAATTACAGGTAAAGACATACCTCACAGGAAGGGGGTGCACTATAGGTTATACAGTAATGGAAGGGGGTGGTCTAGGGGCATACACGCAATAGGAAGAAGATGAATTGGGGGTATGTATGTGACAAGATGGACGGATCCTAGATTCAGGATGGCAGCTTAATTTTGGATGTGAAGGAGCCCCTTTGATCTGTTCAATGGATCTCCATAAGAACCATTATTTGTAGGGTGTAAACCCCACCTACAGGAACCAAGCTAATGGATACAAGCCTCACAGAGAAGTAGTCCATTTTCCCCAGCAGCAGGGAGCAGGCCCACCCCTTGGTGGGGCAAGACAGCAGTCTGGCAGCTGATTGCCTCAAGGGAAATAACTTTTATCATTAGTCTAACATATTTGGGAGAAATCTTTCTGTTTCCCATATAAATATATTAAAAATACATAAAAATATTTTTATATAATATATTATAGATATTATATATTTATATGTAAATATATGAATATAATTATGTTTATATAAGTATGTAAACATATTTATATATGTATTTAAATTTTTTATGTCATTTTATTAGGAGCTCATACAACTCTTATCACAATCCATACATACAGTGAACCCTCGTTTATCGGGTTAATCGGTTCTAGACCCTACCGTGATAAATGAAATTCCGCGAAGTAGGATTCCTTATTTGTAAATCAAATATTTTAGTAGTTAGAGCATAGA